TGAGAAGCTCGTGGCATGCCGCGGTACTACGAAGCGTGCCACTGCCCACAGAAGGAGACCTTGGCAATACTGACCTAAGCGAATCCTTTTGGATTCAAGCAGCCCATTGCCATGTACACACATTCCAAGTTCTTCAAAATAAATACTTCACAAAAATTACAAAAGTTCCGTTGTTCATATGTAATCAATAACTACACATAGAATTTAAAATACAGCCCATTTAAGACTCTATTAACAAGATTTCAAAAAAACATGATAACAAACAATGGTACAGTTCTATCAGAATCCCCAGCTACTACAACCTAACATCTACCATAACATGACATCGAAGTGTCAATAAACCTTTGCATCCCTGTCATCAACTTAAGGTCCACACCTGAGGAAGATTCAGCCTATAAAGATATATAAACCTTGTATCAACATCTTTTAAATTCAGACATTCCGAGCGAGATGAAATACAATTATAAAAAAGATCGTCAAACATCTGAATAGTAATTGTTCCAAAAATATTAGGTACTAACAATGCTTAATAACAATTACGAATTTATATTACTGAGTTTTGAAAGGTGGTGAACACGCTTGTAAAATTTATTTCAATCTAAGTATCCAGCACGGTGAGGGTTGTTTGTAAGAAGGGACAAAAACTACAGGTACTGGTGGCAATCCATCGTTAATTTGTTTGTTTGCAGTTAACTCTCTTAGAGTGCCATGAGAATGACTGAAATTGGCTTTCTATTCTCCGTGCTATTTGCGCTCATTTAAAATTTCGTTCTGTTTACAAACAATATATTACATTATTAGGGGAATAAGGTTATTCATAGTTTAGTACCGGATCTAGAATGTGAGGTGCGTACGTTGACCAAGGGATTCGTGATCATCATTGACGTCTTTACGGAAGTCCTCAATGGACAAATACGTTTCATGAAAAGGCGGATGGATTCTTCTCTGAAGTGAATGAGGTTCACGATCTTCACTTGTTTCCTTTCATGTTGCTTTGGTGTTTTCTTTGGCTCCCTTCTCCATAACTCCCTGTTAACTCTCTATATTGCCATATAATACCTACTATAATACCATATTAACTCTGCGTAAGTACTGTGAACAGGGTGGAAGAATAGGTCGCTAGTGTCGCCCGTTGCGGCCTTGCATATTTGCCAGCATTACATGTTACAAATTTGGTGTATTTGGAGATTTGGCAAACGTCAATTGTTTTGCATGAGAGTTGAAATATTATGGTGTTTCCTTCGATGACTTAATTTCTATTCGCAACCTTCATCCACTTATTTTTATTCTTTTTTTTACTGACAGATAGTACAGCGTTCAACTGTGAAGCTCTTCAGTTGATTGACGAGTAGCTTTGTATCCGCAAAGTGTGAAGGGGTAACTTCTTGTCACCTCCTGATAGTGATTTTCTTAGGTTATACCTTCAATCAAGGTTATTGCCGAGAAAAATTTGGTTAGAGAGCGATGATCGGGTTTAGAAAGGATTACGAGGGAGTGACAGGTGAATGAAAGAGATGTTGCCTTATATAATATCGGAGAGATATTGAAGGAAAATGTGAAATGCGAGTCTGATTTTTAGGTGGGAAAGTGGGGGTTGATCAGTTCTTTTTTCATAATAAGTGACTACTCCTTGTACATGATTTCAATTTTTGAAGACGTTATGTGCCAGTTTCGTAATAAAGGAAGTTTTATTCTATTACAATATCGTTGTGAAGTGTCTTATTGCTGACAAACCAGGGCGCATTCTCTGTTATTCTCAACATATTTTTGGAACGATTTGTAACATATTACTGCAGTTGGGGTAACTGAAATCCATACAGGGCATGCGTAAGTTAATATCAGACAAAGAATCGATTAGTAAATGGTTAAAGAGGAGTGAATTTGTAAGGAAGAGCTGGAATTGAGAATTGGACGTAAAATTTCTAATCATCTATTATCTTCAATTACTTTGGACGAGATGTATCTGTGCCAGTTCAATCTTGTGTCCATCAGAACAACTTCACTTCTTATTCACAATTTTTTTTGTATTAGTATTCCTGACCTGCCGCTCTTCCTATCTGATTCACTTTCTTGTGTTGCTAAAAGCTAGTGGTTTCTTCTGGCGCATTTCAAACGTTAGTTTTTGTCCGTATTCTCATATTTTTTCCAGCCGTTTATATCATTAAATGTATTAATTACTTAACGTCTTCATTTTCTTCTCTTTTTTTATCAAGCCATTATACATTTTAATTCAAGTTACTGCGCTATTTCATCCCCATTGGGCATGGAGGGCCCATATTTTGGTTCTAAGTATTGGAGAGAGTGCAGGAGGAAGACGAATTTGCGCGTTACGTGGCCCGTTGTTTAAGGTACTCTTGTGGCACCCGCCCTGAACTGATAGTACAATAGAAAATTGACAATTCGAAGCAGCCACATCCGATATGGTTGTGTTTCATGGTTTTGAAGAGTAAATATTTTACGTATATTTAAAAAATAACGCAAAAAGAACTGGGCGGGCTGTCTTTTGGCATCTACATGAAATGTAAATCCGTATTTGTTAATCAAAAAATCTGATCAAATTTCCTCACGCAGAAGAATATTCTTAAAAAGCAAAACATTATTTTAGCGTCTCCTTCCTCCATTCTGCCTGTGTGTTTGTCTGACTGTCTGTCTGTCTCTCGCTCTCTCTTTCACTCAATCCGTATGTCACATTTTCTCCCACTGCATACATCGCAGAACGTGAACATTACCAAAATAGATAGCGATTACCTGCACTGCTTCTATAGTCCTTTTGAATAGCTTATACATAGAAGTTGAAAGATTATAATTTATAAAGATGCGCAAAAACATAAAAAATGTAATTATCACCGATTGATTTCATGATAATTTTGTCAAACATTCTCTCTTAAACACGAGATGTGTTGGAACCAGTGAGTGAAATGCATCGTAATTTGTACTGTAAAAGTCTTGCGTTGTACAAACAATTGCGATGTATTTACTTTGCAACAATCAACATTTAGTAAGGACGGGCAGCCTATATAATATATAATGACAATAATTTTCTGAGTATGTTTTCGAACTTGCAAAGAGGACATACATAAATTAAGACCTGAGAACCATGAATACATACATAAATTGAGACATAAGAACCATGTTTGAGAGAAAGTGGGAAAACGAAGGAAAGTAACAAGAAAAGGAAGACTACGTAATTAGTACTTGTAAATATTTGTAAAGATACGGAGAATAGGGGAGCATGGTCTGAGAAAAGATCACAATTACAGTACTTCTCACGTTCGTAAGTTGTTTGTTAGATAATGCCCACACTTGGCATGACAAGTTCGTAAGTAATGAACTCGTTTAGTAAATAAGACTCATTGTTATCTATTTTCTAGGCCATTGTGTTTGAACTTTGGTTTGTGACTTCTCATGAACCCATTCATCAGATAAAGACAGTTCTGATACAAGCCTCGCATTGTCAGAACTCATCCTCAGAACTCAAATAAGTCAAAAGAAGTCACGGAATACATCTTCCGATCATATACTGTCTCGAATATGTCATAACTTGTTTCACCCTTTGTAGTCTATAAAACCATATATCATTCAATACACCTGTTGAATGTAAACAAACACTGTTTCGCCACGAATTAAGAAACTTAAATTTTCGAACGTAAGTTTAAATAGCAAGGGATTCAGTTTCCTTGATTTGTTGGTCATTATACCTACTCATTATAATTTTTAATTTGAAATCATTGCGTCTCATACTACACAATTAACCGAAGTTTTTTATTTCAATCTTCTTCATGTATCGATTGCGAGTTCCTACAATATTGGTCTAGAAATACCAACCCTGTCTTGCATACGTAACTACCTATCATTCTACATTTTCTTAAGGTGAGAATGTATGCTGATTTGTTTTATAATTCGATTTAATACACAGCACAAATACGTATATTATTAAATGTTCTTCAAAAAAGTTATTACACAGCATGAAATAATATTTTAATAAAAATATGTAATGTCTCTCTCCACGTATTTATTTACACAGTAATATATTGTAAAATTACCAAATTAATATTGTAATATATTTAAAATTGCTAATGACCTTAGTTGTTGATGCAACTATAATAAACTACAAAAATATTTTAATCATTGAAACGTGGATTTGTATTTGTGTTTTAAAATTGAGAATATGATTATAGTCGCGACTACTATCCCTTGTTCCAAAACAGTGTAAGCATTACAATTCAGTTGTACTACCTTAGTTCCAAAACAGTGGAATTAAAAGCTCCTTTGAACATAAATTATAGCTGATAAGGCGACGTCAGAGCAAGTGCAATTCCGCATCGGGTGCCTGCCATCCGGAGTGGCCCAATGCCGCCGTCGCCTTCGGCGGAGCGCTGCAAGCGCCGCTCGGGCGCCGCTGAGCCCGGAGCTGCCGCGGGCGTTGGCGCGAGGTGCATCTTCCTTCCTCCTGCGCCGGGAAAGCGAAGCTCCGCTGGGGTCAGCGGCAGGCGGGCGGGACGGGGTGGAGACGGCGGCTGGCGTCAGGAGAAAGCGCCTGTCGGAAGCAACCCACCCAACGCCCTTTGCGACCGCTGCCCTTCCGCTTACCCACCACTCATCCGTCGGCTCCGCATGTACACTACGGTGCGCTCACCTGCTGCGACACGTTCCGAAGCGACCACCTCTCTACACCATCATTAAGCAGTCGTTTTGGGGTTGTTTATTTATATAATTTTTAAATGTATCAACAACGTTATTGGAAGGCTTAATGCATTTTTTCTTCGTCTTTTAATTCACCATGCAAAGTTGGACTGGATTTTAATTCATTTCATAAGGCAAATAAAAAGTTTGTTTTCTCGGGTTGCACTCGATCAATCACTTCATCATAAGTATATTCTCTTGCATGAGGGTCTTTATATTAATCAAGCTATATATTGAGATATCCTTTCAATTTTTATAGTGAATCAAGCAGAAACAATTGAATTTTTTTGAAAAAAAAACAACCCTTAAACATTTGAGTTGAATTGAAATACTAATTGTTCAAATTAAGGGTAGTAGTGATCCTAGAATTAATATTTAATTGCTACTTACGGTCTGAGTAGATTTTATGTAGTAGATGGGATTTGATTTACTATGTGAACCCGAAATTGGATTTTCCCAAATTGTAGTCTCGCAACGGAGAAAGAAGGTTTCTTTGAACAGCACCATCCTAAATATCAATCATGTTTAATGATAGTCTTAAGGTTGTGTTACAATGATCGAAGGTTCTCTCAGTTTGAAACACCAATTTGCTGTTAATCAGCAGGTAGTTCATACGAGTTGATTGGAGAGCGAGACATTAAACACGAGTCCATCCTATGGATGGTGTGGGGTTTCCATGTCCAGTATTATTGCAGAATATTTTTGCAGAGGTTGTTGAATGAGAATCAAAGAGCCAATGAATTTGCTGTTTTCATAGATGGAGGATTGGCTATTCTTTTCAGAAATAAATTATTTGTTTCACATTTTACCCTCCCACAAATGCAGACACCCTTTTGCTGCCCCGTGAGGGACAGTGTTCTTTGGAGGCATTGTCTTTGAAGTTACGGGTAATAGCAGTCGGTAAAAAGTATGAAAAGAAATCTGTAGTTTAAACTAATCATGATGAAAGGTGACATGGATACATGGAGAATACACATCTTTAACAAGCAAGGCTGTCAACAATGCCGTGAGCAGCTCTCCCCTAGTTATTTGTAGGAGGACCCAATTGGAAAGCTAAGCAAACTGTAATCGTGTTCTTTGCAGACAGTGAAATATGGACTAAAAGTTAAAAATTGCATACTGTGTACATTGTTTGTTCTCTGTCAAAGATCAGCACCTTAATATTTCGCGTACATATTTACCACCAGACGTCGTCGAGAACAGCAAGCATTTTTGAACTCTTTTATACTCTATTTATCATTTTCACTTGTATTTTGTTTATCAGTGGACAACAATAATACCCAATCCTTTATTGTCAACGATTATTACATAGGAATAGTATACAAATGTATGAAATAACAATTTTTCTTAAAAAAATACATTCACCTCATTCTTAAAAAGTTTCCACTACACTAATCGTAACAAGCATCGTCGCTTGCAGAACTTTAAATATACTGTATTTACAAATTAAGATGTGATAAATAAAAACAAAACTACAGTTGCGTTAGTCTTCTAACTTATTAAACACATTGTTTAAATTTCATGTTTCTCGAACACAATGTGATGCAATGTGTTTAGAAACGTGTTGTCAAACATTAAACAGTACAGATAACACCATAGAGAAATCATGAATCTGACATGAATATCAAAGGAAATATATATACAAATGAATGTATCAAATTAACGTTACGGACATTTCTTAGACGGAGACTACTCTTGCAGTTGAAAGTTTTACCCTATCTATTTTTTGCATTTACATATATATTTTTAACAAAAGTATAAATGGTGGGAAAAAAGGTTTCGAAATAGTGCAAAGTAATTGAAGAGTAGTCACCTACAATGATCCCATGAAGTACGTACTCGACAAGCCAGTAGTGTTTTTCCATCGGATTCCAAAGGATTTTTCTCATTTTGACTTGTCTCTCACCAGCTTTTCCGAGACGAATCATTGAACATCTCACATGAAAAAACACTAGAAGCTTCTCCTTGTTCCAACATGGAGTTCCGCAAAATACTTCTCTTGCGAAGATTCTGTTTGCCCATAACTACTTTGAAATGCAGAATGAAGGATGGCTTTTGTGCTTCACAATTCTCGGAAGCAGCGACATCTATTTTTTGGCATATCGCTGCGCGGAATATCACTGATCACTCTTTAGTCCTTTCGTCAATGTTCGGCCACCAGCTACTACAAATACGGGTAGACGAATTCCTTGCTGTAGCTGAATTGGGGAATCTGAAACACAGAGTATACAAAGATTTTTAAAAATACGTGTACATTTGATTTCTTTTATAGTGCTGGATCTCAAAAATAAAAGAATCAAGAGCTTATTACATCAGGATGACTAATTGAGTTGATATATAGATTTCTAGAAACTGAGAATAAAACTAAAGCAAAATATTAAATTCACTCAGTTACTAAATGTTAAATCAAAACTATAAATATTTAAGTATTCTAATATCTTAGAAGCTTTTTTATAACTTTTCTTAATCATTGTAATTTAAAATTGGTTATTTTAAACATTTATATTTTTTACGTTACGAACTTTTTTATTTTATTTTAAGTATTACTTTCTATTATATAATAATATTTTACTTTTAATAACAATTTTAAAAATGTATATTATTTTAAATATTTATTTTGTTTGAATTACAAGCGAGTTAAATTTTGAAGATCATTATCAAATTTTTAGTGGCAACATTCTCTTACGTTTATTTGTGACTGCTTCACGGTAAAATTTGCCATATTTTGATACAAATTGTACATATTGAGGAATAAAACGTATTATTGAGGTAAAATGTCTTAAGACAACGTGAATAGTTTATTGATCAAATAATACAAAATCTTAATAAAAGAATAAAATGGGCATTTGTGAAATGTCTTTCGTGTCTTTCTTTTCCCTACTTGGTAAAATTCGGAGACACAAATGTAATTGCGTTTCTCGAAACATTAGTTATACTGTAACGGGGGCAACGTAGGACCTCAAGGCAACTTGCCGCTGAAGGACTCAATTATGTGGAGATTGTGGAGGTTGTGGGTGTTAAGGTTACAATCGAAATTTAAAGCAATGAGTAAGCATTTCTGCAGGTGCTCACGCCTCGTCACAGCTCGGAGCTTTGATCCTATTGACACACGACGGTGACAAATGTATATGAACACTTGAATGCCTTGCATCAATATAGCTCTTTAAAACAGCCTTACACGAGAAGTAGGCGGTATTACATGGGTTGACCTGTTTTCAACGAGAGGTACATCATTGTTCATTAAAGATTTCTAATCTGTTAAGCTTTTTATACACCATTTGCCGAGTTCAAAAACTTAACTGAGAATACTGTTGTACACTAAGAGGTTGAATGTAATTACAACTTTCCATCATTAATTCAACTACTAGAAACTACAGTATCCGGAGATTGTATTCCGTTAGCTAATATTAAAAAAGAAATGACAAGAGGATGTTAAGATTGGTGGATGAACGTATATAATTCGTAAGAATTATTACATCTTCATAATACATTTTTTGCGTGCGAACAACATTTCTGTCACATCTGAATGAACTGATGTTGAATCGTTTAGAATGGTCAGCTTCGAATAATCGTAAAATATGTGAACAAAATACACTACAGTTTGATTGACTAATAGAAAAAAGGTGCAGATAACCAGACTGTTTTGGAAATATTTTTAAACACGTATTACTGAGAAAAATTGCTCTAAAATGAAATAGAAATACAATATTTTATCAGTATAATATCGAACCGTATCTTACAACATTTCAGAGTTAGTAAACAATAAAATATAACAATTTTTTGAAGATTTTAAAATACTCTGCATTGGACACCCGGATTATTGTATTATAAATCATATTATTGCCTATACTACAATATTTTTTTCAACATTGTAATATGTATTTTCTGTATAAAAGAGTTTAACTTGGCAAATGATGTACAAAAACCTTAGCAGAAAATGAACAATGATATAGTTCTGCTTGGAAACCAGTCAATCCATGTAATTGTGCCTATTTTTCTGAAACACTGTGACATCTGTCTTCGAATATTATCAAATTCTCTAATTTATGTTTGGAAACGATCTCTTTTAATTACCGTTTTGAACTCAATAAATTGTCTGGTTGTAGTCAGGAGAGAAAGAATATTTATTGCTCTCAACCAATAAATTCAAACAATAGCCAAAATTGAACGTAAAGGTTTTACAAGAAGAAAAAATATTTCTCATACAAAAGCAAAAAAAATTAATTTGCAATTTCATGTTCAAATGCAAGTAGACAGTATCAAATCTTTTCCGAAAATATAAAAATTTAGAATTACGGCATAGAAATCGATTAAATGAAAAAAGAGCACTTGAAAATAAGTAAAGCATTCTACGTACTACATACTAGTAGGCCTCTCATTCAACGAGAGACGATGTAAATAAAAAGAGTCTATTTCAAATGTCTGGGTTGATTGATTAGTGATTCCGAACGCTACTCATTAGTCCCGTAAGTGTAGTGCATGTTCCCCGGGGGAAGGGGGTTGCCTGTGATCTGCCCTCGCTGGAAGGCGAGATCTGGCGCCAATACACTTTGCGGTGGACTTGCAGAAATTTTCTTCAATCAGGTATCTTCTACAAGCGTGGCACCGCCAGATTGGGGACAAGCATTTAACTCCCGACAGGGGTGGTAGCGTAATGCATGTGAGTGTAAGTGTGAGTAAGTAACGGGTGAGGATAATAAAAGGAAGGAGAAGGCAATATCGAGTGCAGTTCGTGATCCATTTTTAAGGTACTGCTCTGGCATTCGCCTAGTGTTGATTGGAGAAACCACGGAAAACTACCGATCAGAGCAGTCCGCCGCTAGAACTCTTCTCTAGAGAGCTGCTGAATTAAATGCCTAGAAAAATGCTATATGTTGCCTATGAAGAAGCCTATTCCCATTCGTAAATCGATTGACTGATTGACTACTAGTCATTCTGTGCGCGTCAACTGGTGAGGCTATTAGTACCGTAAGTATAGCGCATATTTTTTGCTCGGGAGGTGGCGGCGAACTTGTCCCGCTGGATGCAGAGACCCAACCTACCGACGCGTCGTCTAGCGGCGTTCTCCTCAAGCAAGTATCTTCCACGAGTGGGGCACCGTCTCAACTCGGGCAAGCCTGTGCTCCCGACAGGTCTCCCGGCATGCGTGTAAGTGTAGTGCATGAAATTGTGTTCATCTAGGGGGCAGGATAGGACAAGGAATGGGAAGGAAAAACCACGCACGGTGCGCGGCCCATTTGTTAAGTTACTACTCCAGCATTCGCCTGGTAGTGATCGGAGAAATCACGGAAAGCTACCGATCTCCTCTCGTAAAGACGAGGATATTTTGGCCTCACACTTCCTCCCACACTCTCTTCCCAGCGCCGGGGCCGCGTGGTCATCCGCAGATCCGCGCCGCATCGGTTCCCAGTGTCCCCGCGCATTACTTGGCCCCGCGAAGCAGCTTTCTTGCGAGTTTGTTGAACCGGTCCATGACGTAAGTGCCAGCCGCGGCGCCCCGCTGCCCGCCCTGCCCCCGCTGCCGCTGGCGCCATCTGTTCGCGTCGCGTCGCGTCGCGCCGCGCGGCGCCCTCAGGAATGCGGCGACGGCGAGGTCGGGGCTGGCGTTGGAGTGAGTCAAGGAGCGAATATTTACAATGCCCGGGCGCCTCAACTACTAAGGTCCATAGTCGACGAGGTTTTGTTTCTCTTTCTCTGAAACTTTAGATACTGATACTACAGACGACTTGCGGACATTGTCAGAAATGTTCAAATAAAGAATGATTATTCCAGTCACATTTTTAAAAATACCGTGTATTTCAAAGACGTCTCAATCTCACTTGTGAGGTCTTCTTCAGTTTCCGAAACGGTAATATTACAAACCAATATTTCAAACAAACATTACATTTTACATTTTACAGAATTTATATCTGTATGGTTCACAAATTATAAAAACTATTAGACACACGTAAGGTTACCTGTCTTAGTATGAGGTTATGTACACGTTATTACTGTAAACGTAAACACAAGTATGCAATACTTCAAAATAGCTTCAAATTTTACAGAAAATCTTTGAGTTTTCGAAAAAATTCATTGGAAGTCATTTGAAGCACTTCCACTTACATATAAAATGTGTAGTGAATACAAATAGCTGTAAATGGAAATATTAAAGGCGTAAGAGGTTTTTAAAAATATATATTTGTGTAATTTTTTGAGAAACATAAGATATAGCAAAATTATATTTATGTGATTTGTTATGTAATTTACACAGAGTAATTAGCACTATCCGTTCGAAAAAATTGGAAGAAATGCAATCAACCTTTAATGCTATTTTGTTAAAAACTGATTCAAAATTGTCTATGAAAATATCTTTATAGGACTTTATACACCATTCTTGAAGTAATATTCGGTTCTACTATAAGGAAACCGACAAATTAAGAAAAAATGTACTCTGACCGGCGATAGATGGCAGCTGTCAAGAGTATGAGTTAAGATCGCAAAATAATCCCAGAACACTGCTTTTTAAACCCGATTAGTACCGGAAAGAGTGCGGGAATCACTAGCACTACTATTTTTTTACTGTGTTGTCTTGTAATTATTGTGAAAAAGTATGCAAGATTTAAATGTGCAGTTTTGAAGATAAGCTGTGGATGAACAGATTTATCCTGTGAGTACTTCTTTAAGGAAGAATATGTGACCTCCGTAAAAATAAATGTTGACACATACTATTACTTATTCGTAACAGTGGTAATCTTTCAAGTTGCACGGTACAATAATCATGATTATGACTCATATTCATTATTCTTAATTTCTCGTCCAATCCAATACCGGCCAGAGATGCCACGCTAAGCTAGTTTTTTCATTATATTGTAAAACAAGTTTCCCCAGAATGAATATATACGATATACACTCTCTACCCTACTAGTATATCTCAATAAAGTTTGTACATTTGCAAAATCTCACATCGAGGTGTGTGTTGTGTCATTGAAATTGCCAGAGTTGCATAGCGTAGTGTTCTTAATTTAGCATTCTTCTGCACAAACTGCGAATTCAATTGCAGGTTAGACTGAATAGAACAGTTTAAATATTTTCTAACATTTTAAATATTTTCTATTTTCCTTTGGTAGTGTTTTTTGTTTTTATTTTGTCACTGGTGTTAGATCAGTTTTATCGATGAGCAGATTTTCGTCAAAAATGTTATCTCTCATTTACTAAGAGCTTATTTATTAGCAA